AAATTGTGACACGTGCACTGCCTCTGTGTTTTGTGTATCAGGATTTAAATTTAAATCATACTAGGACATAAGGTACATTTCTGTCACTAGGGGTGAATAAATGTTCTTTTAGAGGTACAAAAATGTACCAATGTTCAGAGGTACATTGCTGGGGTACAGCTGGAGCGACAAAGCATTTGTACTCTTTTAGGTACATTCCTGTACCTTGATTTTTCTGTGTGTATTTTTGTTGTAATTTCATATTTTAAATCGTTTTGTATATATATATATATATATATATTCAGCTACCATCAGAGCTGCTCAGACATATTCTTCTAGATGTTGTCTATAAAGAAGGAGATGGAGCCTTTCTCACTCTGTCACTAGTGTGACAGTTTTCATGTTTTATGGCATCAGTTTTTGAAGAAAAGCTCACTTTGCCTGGATGGACAGTATGTATATTTAGTACTTTTATTAACTGAACAAGGTTTTTAAAAAATATTTAGAAAGTTTATTGCATTAATTCAGAGATTTGTTTTTCTTGTGTAGGTATCGTTGACGAATACAGAGAATACAGAGTGGAGTTTGAGCTCACCAGGTGTGATGGCTGTAGATGCATCTACAAAAACACTACTGGATACTGTGACCATGGAAAGAAGGGGGTCTTCACAGCATTCTATTCAGACAAAGAGTTTGCTTGCTTCTGTTCTATGGACTGCTACTAGCATGAATGAATGAATGAATGAGTGGTTTATTATTATTATTTTTTTTAACTTGAATTGGCAACTGAAACTGAAAGCTAAATAAATGTTTTATAAAGCTGTGTCTGTTTGCTAAATTGGTTAATGTCACTTAATAGAAGGTTACTAGACTAATTTTTTTATTTTAGAATTTAGTGGTTTTGTCAACTATATGTTTTTCTCTATCAGGCAAAACATTGTTTTTTAGGGTAACACTTTACAATAAGGTTTCATTTGTTGACATTGATGTATTAACTAACATTAACTATGAGTAATACATTTGTTACAGTATTTATTAAGCTTTGTTAGTATTAGTTAATAAAAATACAGCTGTTCGTTGTTAGTTCACTTCACAGTGCTTTAACTAATGTTAACAAATACAACTTTTGACTTACTTTAACTTAAGAACAGCTAGTGCGACTAACCGTGTTAAGAGACGTTTGTATCCTCAAAAAAAAAATTGTAATTTGTTTTTGATGATTGATAAACTAAGACCTAAACTTGCAGTGGTGATGACGTCAGTAACCCGCGCCATGCAGAAGTTCCGAAGGTACTTTCTAAAGTAATTTAAAATAATATTCTTAATATCATTGACGCTGTTTTTACCTTGGAAGAATTAAATTTGGTTTTATCGGATTATGTTGAATTTATTGCTTCCTTTTAATCTGTAGGCCTATAGCGATTAAGAGTATGATTCGCCTTTACGCGGAACAGCCAGCTTTCGCGAAACCTTTTGGAACGCCCCCTACCTTTCGTTTCACCAATGAGAAACATTTTGACATGCCCCCTAACTTTCGGCACGCCCCCACCTTTTGGCACGCCCATTGCTCCAAACTGCACCTTCCCCTACTAGGAGAGATTGGCTACATTGCTCAGCGTGTACTGGACCGAGTCGAAATAGTCTTGGTTATTGGAATCGCAACCTGCCCGTGCTTGTCACCATCCCGCCCGCACCACACCCTACACATAAATATTATTGATGTATTTTAATAATTGATGTATTTAGCAGACGCTTTTATCCAAAGCGACTTACAGTGCATTCAGGCTATACATTTTTTACCAGATTGATCAACTCATGAACATATCATACTTGCTGTAATTAGTGTATTGTCTTTGATTGCGGTCTCTGTGTCTTGATGGGCTGGGGGCTTTGGTTTTAGGTCTCTGCTCTGTCACTTTAAAGGAGTGATTGTCCCGGTCTGTTTTATGAGACAACGGGGACCGACTCCTGTCTCTTGAACCGTGATCTGTGTGGTTAGATACTGAAGATCTGTTTGCTGGTAACTGAAACGGTTAAGGAATAAATCAGGTACAATAATTACACAAATTTAAGATGGCAAAATCATATTTGATAACAATTACCAGATCAGTGTTAAACAGTGGTGTGGATGTCATAAGTGAAAATAAATGAATTTGGTAATGCAGATCCAGTAACTACTTTAATCATCCATGACAGAGGTCAGCATGAATGATTATGGCTAGAGCCCGACCGATATGGTTTTTTTTGGGGGCCGATGCCGATGCCGATATTAGGGAGTAAAAAAGACCGATACCGATATATCGGTCGATATTCTTTATGTGTAGGCTATATTATAGTACAGTAGTGTTGGGCGATATGGTCATTTTTCAAATTGTCATATCGCCAGTCCGTGAGATCGCCGACAGACGATATTATCGTGCATGGGTGGATGGGGGCAAGAGAGAGACTCCCTTATACCTATCATAGGCTATTTCATAACTATTTGGTGTTTTAAACCGCGCGCGCGCGAGAGAGAGGGAGCCTATGGAAGCACCACAAATCTAAATAATATACTTAATCAAACATACTCATAAACTAACATGTTAAATACAAAAATATTTAAAACAGCTAGTTCATATATATTCGGATACAACAGTCAAACATCGCTATTAGGACCGCGCGTCCTGTGGCAAGTTTGCCGCATCGACGCACGGAAGGTCTGCAAAATCAGTCAACGGTGAAAATCAAAAGTAGATTTATTTTAAAGACCAACAGTTTAACACTAAATAATCGCAACCTGCCCGTGCTTGTCACCATCCCGCCCGCACCACACCCTACACATAAATATTATTGATGTATTTTAATAATTGATGTATTTAGCAGACGCTTTTATCCAAAGCGACTTACAGTGCATTCAGGCTATACATTTTTTACCAGTATGTGTGTTCCCTGGGAATTGAACCCACAACCTTTTGCGCTGCTAACGCAATGCTCTACCACTGAGCCACAGGAATAAATATTATTCCACCCGTTACATCAAATATTAGCGATTCACCTGCATGTACCTGCCCGCATGCAGGACTCTGACTTCCCCCTTGTGGACAACATAATAGACAACTCTGGCCCCAGAGAGTGATTGTAAATTAAGTTTACATGAAATATGTTTGAAATTTCATTCTGCATCTTCTGAGATTTCATTTTAATCCTTCTCATAATGTCACTGAATTAACCATTAACTTTTCACCTGATTGCGTTGCCGTTGAGAGCATTGTTGAGAGAGAATAAGAATGTATTGGAAACATGTTACCGCCTACCTGACTCTGCCTGAGAAGTAAGGCAAAATACACTTACCCGAGATGATTTTTATTTTACATCTCTGAAATATATGATAGTACTCTTGAAAACAATCTTTGGTAACACTTTATTTGAAGGCGTCCTTGTTACACGTTACATGTACTTAATATTATATTAACAATAAATTATGCATAATTACATGCAAGTAAACCAAACCCCAATCCTAACCCTAAGCATATAGTAGCCTACATGTAGTTAATTAATATTACTCAGTACTTAAAAGTATAATTACACTGTAACAGACACCTTAAAATAAAGTGTAACCCAATCTTTTAATGTATTATTGAATAAAATATTAGTTAATGATTCAAGAAAGAAAAAATTAATAGCTATAATATGGACTATTGTAAATGCTCTGTGATACTCAGATTTCCTTCTCACATTGCTGATTTCACCATTAACTCTTCATCTGAATAGTGTATGTTGCTGTATATGGTATCATTGTAATCCTTGACCATCAAAACAATTTAAAACAGCTAGTTCATATATATTCGGATACAACAGTCAAACATCGCTATTAGGACCGCGCGTCCTGTGGCAAGTTTGCCGCATCGACGCACGGAAGGTCTGCAAAATCAGTCAACGGTGAAAATCAAAAGTAGATTTATTTTAAAGACCAGCAGTTTAACACTAAATATTGGACATGAACGAACACTATATTACTCAGTACTTAAAAGTATAATTACACTGTAACAGACACCTTAAAATAAAGTGTAACCCAATCTTTTAATGTATTATTGAATAAAATATTAGTTAATGATTCAAGAAAGAAAAAATTAATAGCTATAATATGGACTATTGTAAATGCTCTGTGATACTCAGATTTCCTTCTCACATTGCTGATTTCACCATTAACTCTTCATCTGAATAGTGTATGTTGCTGTATATGGTATCATTGTAATCCTTGACCATCAAAACAGGGGTAGACATCACATTTTCTGTGTTATCATGTTTGGTTCAGGAGATATGACACAAAATATGGTTATGGTGGCAAGTAAAATGATCGCCATGGCAACCACGAGGTGTTTTTGCGATGGCTCAATTTCTAAAAATGTTTAGGGCTGCAAACTATACAAGTGTACCAAGTTTCATGCTTTTATGAAAAAGTGAACATTATTTTCACATATCACTGGACTACAGTACTTCTTGAGCCAAAGTTGTTCATAATGAGGAAATCGAACATGATTTCATGATTTTGACGTTTTTGATCGCTGTAGTGCCCCCCTATTGGCCGATTGGAGTTTTTTGCTGTGTCCGAAAGCTGAAAAATTCTGCCTTCGGAGAATGCATTCCAAGGTAGGAAGGCATCAGGTATGTCCGAATCCAATGTTAGCTTCAATTCCTGTTTCCTGCTTCATCTGATGGATTTTTGAAGGCAGCGTAAATGTATCCTTAGCTGCCTTTGATATCCCACAATCCTGTGTGTTCTACTCTGTGACAGCTAAAAATGGCGCCTGAAAGTTGCGCTTGGTGGTCAGTTTGTGTGCAAATGTATGTTTTTGACCAACGTTTTCCACTTTTAACATAAAATGTTAAACAACTGAGACAAACTGAACAAGTTTCACACTAACTGGAATGGAATAAATAGTCCCTGAACTTTTTTTTTTGTGTGTGCCGAGTTTACAGACATATCAGTACTGATGACTGGAACAGGCTGGTAAGTTGGTAGACAAAGCCCATAAGGAGAACACGTGTCATTTGTACATTTTATTTACAACCATGATCTGGCATCATGATGTTAATTAAAAATTACAAATCTTAAAAATCTTAAAACAAAAGACAGAGGTAAAAGTTTCCATGTTCTTTATGGTCTCATCTTCTCATGAAGTTCTTCTCCAGAGCAGCAGGGGTCCTCTGAATAGAGTGAATGTTTCTCTTCACACGGTCTTCCAGAGAGGAGGTGGCAGCACTCTCTAGTTTCATGTCACTGTAAACAGATTTACAAATTAATTAGTGAACAATTTATTATTATCCAAATCATTTTATGGCTGACCAAACACAAGAACATAATTTCCAGCAGAACTTAGTGCTAAGTGCTTTGCTAATGTGCACATTTATTTTAGGTCAATTCAGGTTTCAGTAATTTAAATACTGACTGTATGAAGCCAGCATGACGGTCCTGTTTGGCATTGTCTCTGGCTTTCTCCTGTTCCTCTTGTCGCTTGTACCTCTGCACATTATTTTGCCTTTCCACTTTTCTTTCACGGGCAAAATCCATCATTTCCTTTCTCTTCTTTTCCAACTCTTCAGCTGAGAGGTGCCTGAGAGAGGGGGGGAAATGTAGTTTTCTTTTTTATTTTAACAGTAAACCTCTGCTGTGCAGCACTTAGTTTGCCAAAAAATAAAAGGGTTTAATTTTCATTTGATTAGGATAAATTAAATTAATGTTTTATGCCTTCATCTGATTACCAGAAAAATTAAGAACATTTTATTGGGCCCCATTATTGTTTAAAAAAGGACCCTATACAAAAAAAAAACAATAGGTTTAAAATACAGGCATGTGGTTAATTTCTTTTTATTAATTCACTATTTGTAAAAAAATGTTTACTGTTCATTTTTTAGAAATATCAATAGCATTTGTATTAAAACTATATTCACTGAATGCAATAAAAAAATAATAATCGAGAATCGAATCGAGAGCTTGCGAATCGAAATCGAATCGAATCGGGACATCTTAATCGATACCCAGCCCTAGTTATTACAATATAAAATAATGGTTTCTATTTTAATATCTTTTAAAATATAATTTATTTCTGTGATGCAAAGCTTAATTTCCATCAGCCAAAAAAAAATCGAGAATCGACTCGAATCTAATCGAGAGCTTGCGTATCGAAATCAAATCGAATCGAATCGGGACATCTGAATCGATACCCAGCCCTACTCAGTTAGTGAGGGCTCGGTTAAAATATTGCACACATATAGGACGTTCAGTTTACTTGTTAAACTTCTTTTCCAACTCTTCAGCTGAGAGGTGCCTGAGAGAGGGGGGAAATGTAGTTACATTCTATGTACTATGCATTTCACAAAACTGAATGTCTTCTACAGTAAAACAAACTAATGAAATGTATTCATGCCAAAGTTTTTAAATAAGAAACTCATGTTCAGAGTAATTGCTATAGATAAGAATAAAACATTCATGCTTGCTATATGTGGTAGATTAATTGATCAACTCATGAACATATCATACTTGCTGTAATTAGTGTATTGTCTTTGATTGCGGTCTCTGTGTCTTGATGGGCTGGGGGCTTTGGTTTTAGGTCTCTGCTCTGTCACTTTAAAGGAGTGATTGTCCCGGTCTGTTTTATGAGACAACGGGGACCGACTCCTGTCTCTTGAACCGTGATCTGTGTGGTTAGATACTGAAGATCTGTTTGCTGGTAACTGAAACGGTTAAGGAATAAATCAGGTACAATAATTTCACAAATTTAAGATGGCAAAATCATATTTGATAACAATTACCAGATCAGTGTTAAACAGTGGTGTGGATGTCATAAGTGAAAATAAATGAATTTGGTAATGCAGATCCAGTAACTACTTTAATCATCCATGACAGAGGTCATGGAGACTCCTTCACCGGCTACAGGCTCCTCATTTGCACGCGTGTGTGAAATACAGTGCTGAATGAAAAACTGGGGTAATTTGATAACAATAGCCGGATTATAATGGGCTGCCTAATAATAATGATAATAAATTATTATTATTATTTAATACATTAATAGGAGAATGAGCCTAATATCGTCTTGACTATCGACAAAGACATCTGCGATGACAACTCAAATGTGGTGATCAAACACTTATAATGATGTGCAAACATAGGCCTATGTAGTGGAGGCAGGGTATTTAACAATTTAACAATAAACTTTATTATTCAAAATGAGTCTTTTTTTTGTTTTCTCTTTTCCTTTTCAAGATTGTGACGCAACTATGTTGAGAAAAAAAAATTAGAATGCCTTTTTTTAACATTCCAATTTAACTCCTGAATTTGAACTGAGGTAACAAACAACATGCATTATTATAAGTAAAATTTGATTTTAAGTACAATTTTTTTGCAGAATTTATTTATTTACAAAGAAAAGTTCATTGAGAGACAAAGTGTTTCAGAAAGTCTAACATGATATTTAGTAAACTGACCTTCATTTTGTGGACCAGAGCAAAATACTAGTTTCCAAGAATGTCATTAACCTTGGATTGCAATTAGGCAAATTTATATTTCGGTCAAATACATTTCTAATGCAACTTCCTGTGAGGTAAGACCAATTCATTTTGAAGTGAAGGTAACATTTTGAAGTGAAGCACTAAACATACCACAAAATATCATGCAATGTACACTACTCACCATCTTTTGGATTTCTTTCATTTTAACAGGATTTGTAAGAACCCCTCTCTTCTTCTCCTCTTCACGTTTGCTGAAAATGAAATAGGGATTACACTTACTGTAAACATTTTATCTTACAAGAACTCTGAAGGAAAGTTCCCAGATCCAGATAAATATAAATTAAGATCAATCTACGTTATTTGTGGCATAAAGTTGATTACCACAAAAATAGTATTGACTCATCACTTGTATTTTATAAAAACAATTGTTTAACTTACTTAATAGGGGTGTATTGGTACACAAATTTTACTGAAAATTTTCGGTATAGGTCTTTTGGTTCGGCTTGATGTGTACCAAATTAATGCAGCGTTGTTTTAACAACTGCACATGTGGATCATACAGATGGAGTGCAAAAAAAAAAGAAAAGCCTTTTTATTAGGGCTGCACAATTTACCATAATTTAATTGTTGCGATACTGGCCCGCTGGTTATTTCTGCTCAAAACATTTTTTATTTTTTTTTGACATTGAACTGGTTTCCACTAGCCTCTACTAGCTTTCATGTTTAGGGCTAAAAGATTTTAAGAGTTTAAATCCCCCAATCAGAACTTTTCTCTTAAGGTGGAAGTGAAGCAGTCAGTCAAGTTCACATTTAGTATCTGATTTCCACTGTAATTAAAATATATATAAACTAGGGGTGTGCGATATTGATAAAAAAAAGATATCTCTATATTTTCTGGAATTTTATCGATAATAATTAGACGATATTTTGCAGAGTGTGTTATTGTGCTGACATCTTAAGGACTACCATGGACAGCTGACTCCTAATGTTTTTGATATTCTTCATATTCTGTGTGGTGGTTAGTTCACAGCAGTGATAGAAAGTAGCTAATCGTTTTCAATTAGTTTAAATTGATTTTTACCGTTTATGGGTATTTTTTACCTTTATAAAGCCATTTTTTTCTGTGTGGCTCATCTTTTGAGTCAAATTCTTACATTTAATCAGTTGGTTAGAATAAGACTTTTGGGCTTTTACCAGGCAAATAAATCAGTATCAACAAAATGTATCTTTGCAATGCAGAGGAAACACAGAAGCTGCATCTGAAGTGGCATTTAGATGTATTTACACACCGTTTAATGCAGCTCAGAGGGACATGCAGGGTTCCCACTCTTTCATGAACACCAGATTCAAGGACTTTTCAAAGCACCATTTATTTTATATCAAGCACCTATCAAATTCACACCTCAGCATATGTAGCATCATGAAAGACCTCTTACAGTACTTAACATTTCACTTACACTTAACATTTACATAAAACATTTCAGAGTAATAAGGTTTTGAATGTGTAGGTTTCATAAATTTAGTCCATTTTGAGCAGTCATGTTCAAAGGAATTTAATTAAATCCATTGAAGTCAATGGAGTTCACACTGGTAATATTCAAATACAATTTCTCAAATATTGATAAAAATACATATTCTTGCATCAAACTGGTTTTTGCTGCAATTCTTGTAAAAGACTTAAATTTGAGAGAATTTCTACATTTTTAAATGAATAAAAAGTGGTTAAGCAGGGCTCTACGCGTACTTTTCTTTTAAAATTTAAAAAAATTTAGGAGCACAGTCAAATATTTCAGGAGCAACTTCTAATCAATAATAATCAAATTCTGATCAAAACTTTGGCTTCGCATTAGGAAATGATATTTGACTCCTTAAAGTGATTTACAGGGAATTTAGTTTTTACACTTTTGTAATGGCATTTTTCTAACTTTATTGAAAGTATGTCATCTTTTATGCCAAATTAAAAAAAATTATATTTATAAGCTTCTTAAAAATTCTAATTAAAATAACAGAATAAAATCAAGTAGAATAAGAATAAGTTACCAATCAAATAAAATCAGTATTAAAAAAAATATTTTGTACCACAGAGGTGGCACAGAAGAACCCAAAAGTAGCTTGTAGGTGCATTTTCAGACATTTAATGAGGCTCAGAGGTGGCATGAGTGGAATTAAATTCATGTTGAGATTAATATTTTAAATATAAAATTTTGAATATAGAAATATTAAACTAATTAAATAACAGAAAAGATCCTTTAAAAATGAAAGTAAAACTGCCAGTAGGTGGTAGGGCTGTGTATCACCAGCAAAGTCACGATACGATACGTATCACGATACAGAGGCCACGATACGATACGTATCAGGATACAGGACTGCACTGAATTTCACCTCAGCAGAATTTTGAAAAATAGCTGTTTATTAAACACTGCTTACTATAGTGCCATTTCTAACTATTGGCAGAGCAGGCAGTTGACCTCTGCATTATGAAGGGCCTCCATAACTGTACCACAGTACAATATAGGTAATGGCATATGTTTCATGTTTACATTGTGCACTCCCAACCAGGTACAATATTCTGATTGTTTGCATCTTGTTTTTAAGCCCATAAATAATAATGTACTCGTTCTAATACATTTATATTGTAATGTACTCATTCTAATATATAAAAAAAAAATAACTTACATTGCTGGTAGGTTATCATTGCACAAATTAACACACTCTCTACGATTAAAAAAAAAAATTAGAAGAGTTCTAAACTAACGCGCTGTCTTCACTGTATCTAACGCACACAAGGTTGATTTACTCGACGCGTCCACAAGTTCGCTTATGCCGAGTTCACACTGCACGATTTTAGCCCGATTTTTCACTCGCCGACAGGTTTTGCGAAATCGCCGACAAATGACCGAAATCGGAGGAAAATCGGTGCTCGTTCACGCGAGTGACAATCACGCAGTGTGAATTATCAAAGACGCGATCTGAGGGAATCGCCGATGTGTCGCCGACGCCCGTGAAATATGTGGCATGCTAAATATCTGGAGCTGCCGGCGATTCACAATCACGCTGTGTGAAATGAGTTCTGACTGAAAAACACATCGGCAATGACCTACAGCAATGAGAGAACAAGATACAGGGCAGCGGGAAGTTCAGGGAGGAGTTATATGAAACATAGTTTGTGGACCAGTGTTGCCACATCCGTGATTGCCGCCAGTTGTTTTTTTTATGTCAGCAGGTTGAAGCGACCCCAATAACGTGATATCTAGGCCCTGGAATGGAACTCAATGATTTGCCACCACCTACTACTGTGTTCAAAATATCAATACGACGATGTATCGTCACAGAGATTTGACGATACCAGCATCGATACAGCTAACCCTGTATCGATATTGTGGCACGTGTGCAGCAGTGGACCGCGCTTAATTTGTTTAAAATTTTACAACGTTTAAAATTGAGTAGAAAAGTGCGAGGTTTCTAAAAAAGAATGAATAGAGCATATATAGGCTACAACAAGGTTTAATCTGGCCGCAGAGGAACACAACTGGGTTGCCTGACATAAAGACACGTAATCCCCGAAACAGAGCTTCACACTTGCGCAATATGGAAATATCTGCTAAGTGTGTTACTTATCTTTGTCAACCTGGCAGCCGTGCACGTGCTCTCTCTCCACTGTGGATAAACGCGCTTGCTTTCTGAAAACACCGCTTAGCTTGCAGTTTAGCGAGCTCCACTTCAATATTCTCAGAAAATTTTAATTCATCGAGTGTTCATTTATGAGAGAGAGAAAGAGAGAGGCTGTGTATGTATGAATTACCACCGTTTTGCCGCGTTTCTCTATTAACAGTAAAGTGGCTTTAATTCCTTTAGAAACAATGA